TTCAGGTACAGCTTTCAAGGACAAAAGAAATCCAGCTTTCCCCCCAAGCCCCCCCCCAAGACAAAACCATTTTGTGTTCACGCGTTCCCCGAGCCTAAACCTGTGTCGGAGACATTTTTTCGCTTCAATCTGTTTTTGAATTTTTAAGGTCCCCTTTAACTTTTGTAAATAAGTTTCCCTGGGCCCCTTTAAAATTAAAATCCAGGAACATTTCGACAACATAAATTTACATTAAAAAATTAAATTTGGAAACATAAGAAAAAAAAATTTTTATAAACTTTAAAAAAAAATATTTTAATACTTAAATTAATTTTTTAAAAGGGGTAATTAATTAGGAAAATGTAAATTACCAAAAAACTTCCCCCCAAAGGGCGCCCGGGCCCCCTGGGTTTCGAAGGGGCGGGGGGTTTCAACCTTCAATTTCCCCTGTCCCGGGCTGGAGCCCCCACTTGTTCAAGGAGCCCCACCGGCCCCATTTGTCCAAAAAACCAAGGTGACTGCAAAATGACATGCCCGTGCATCCCCCATGAACAGACAGTTTTCGAGATGGGGGAAACCTGCCACTAGGGGGCAACTGAGCCTGTTACCTTTGTAGGTTTGGTTTTGCTGGGTGTTGTGGGGAGGAGGTGGATGGGAGAAAATCTGCCTCTCTTTCCCAAAAGTTTTGCATTTTGAATCAGGATAGAAAGTTGTTTTCGAATTTCTTTTTTTAAAATCCCCCCCCAAACCCTTAACCCTTCCCCTTTAACCCTGGAGTTAATCCTAACCCTTAAAATTCTTAGTTAAAGCCTGAATTAACCTGAAAAAAATGAGAAAAAAAGGGGGGGGAATCTAATTTGACTGGCTGTGGAATGTTGTACCCTCACCCCCTCATCAGGCTGAGTCAAAGGGGACCACCCTCGTCCCCGTGCCAAAAGGGGTTTCCCAAATGACTATCCCCCGTTGCACTCACCCGTCATCATGAAGTGCCCTGAGCGGTGGTCATGGCCCCCTTAGGCCGCTTCCAGGGACATGGACCCACTCCAATTTACCTTTCCCCTCCAACGATCCACGAAAAATCCCTTCCATCCTATCACAAGCCTTTTCACATCGGAAAGAGGAACACCCATGGAAATGGTTTATTGCTACGTTTGCATTCAAACTATTGTTCCCTCCAAGCTCGACACCGAGTAGACCCTGGGTTTTGGACACCACCCCCTGCAAAATGGTCCTGGCTTCGAAAGGCAACCCCGGCTTTGAGGGTTGGCAACAAACACCCCCTCCAACTGATCACAAGGGCCCCCACCTTTCATGGGGGGCAAAACCACCCGTCTTGTCAAAGGACACTCCTTATTTTTCTAAGGCAGTAGCTACCCCGGGTCCTCTCAAAAACTATCGCTGCCACCTCGAGGTTTTTACCCGGGTTGATCAGGCCCGGTACGGGGGTGTCTCCGTCCAGACTGCAAAGGCCCCCAGCGGGTGGTAAAGAGGCCCATACTCACTGGGACCGTGCTTTCCCCCCATCCCGGACTTCTACTAAACGGGTGCCCGAGGGAAGGGGATGCAGCACCATCAAGGCCCCCCCCCCCCAGCCCAGGCGTTCACTCCCCTTTACCGTCGGGAAGCGTACGGAGCATAAGGTCTGATACCCAAAAGGCTCAGGGGACCGTTCCCATGTAAAAGCCCTCCCCCTTTCTTCCTTCCCTCTGCTTTTCTCCCCTCCCCATCTCCCCCCCCCCCCCCCCCCCCCCCCTTCTCTAAACTTACTAATTTTTATATTTGGTGAGAAATTGTCTTTTTAAAGTTTAAAACTTTTTGGGACTGGCCGTTTAAAAGTTTTTTTTAACGCAACCCTCCGCAGCAACCACACCACACCAAAACACCCCCCCAAGACACCACACACGAAAACACCAAACCCCCAGAAACACACAACAAACCATTCCTCGTGCTACCGAGGTCGCGGGGCTTGGTAAAGGGGTTTTCACAGGGTTTCCCCAAAAGCAGTCTTGACACCACAGAGACAACCCCCACAACAGACACACACACACACACAGACACACACCCCCCCCACACACACACCCACAGAGAGACACACACAAAAACGAACCCACACACAAGGACACACACACCACACAGGACACAACACACCCACCACACCCACACACACACAGAAGACCCCCACAGCCCCAACCCCCACACCACCACACACACACAAAACCACACACAAGACACCACCCTTCCAGACGGACCAAACCCTTCAGGAGATTTTTCCTATTTTGGGGGGATCATTTTTTTTTCATGTTTTAAAATTTTAGGTTGTGTTTTCCCCGCCTCTCTCTTTTTAGGGAGACTGCCTTTTGCTGCAGAAGGGGGGGGTGTTGTGTGTTGGGGGTGTGGTTGTGTGTGTGTGTGTTTTTGTGTGTGTGTGTGTTTTTGGGTGTGTTGGTTGTGTGTGTGTTGGTGGGGTTTTGTGTGTGTGTGTTTAGGGGTTGTGGGGTTTTGGGGTTTTTAAAGTTGATACAGGTGGTCCCAAACCCTTTGGGCTGTAAGGGTTGGTTATAAGTTTTATCGGGATGGTCAGTTTGCTCCAAGCTTGTCTTACTTGAGAGAGGAACTTTTTCCACTACATCCCCACTTTTTACCAAACGGGGGGGCTTTTTTATTTTTTCAAAATTTTGATTTTCGCGGGGAAAGTTTTGGATTGAAGGGAAATAGACGACCGGGGCTAATTTTTGTTTAGATCGCAGATCGCTCAAGAGATTTTTAACTAACTCTGTCCTGTCTGAGGAATCGGAATGCCTTTAAAACCCAACCACTAGGGGCAAAAAGTGGCGTTATTCCGCCCAATAATTGGGGAAGGGATTTAACCCAGTTGGCCAAAAAGGTGGGGTTCAATAGTTTAGAATTTTTAAAAAAAAAGTTTTCCCAAAATTAAAACCGATTTAATTTTAAAAGGTTTTGGAGAAATTTAAGTTTGAGGGAGAATTGAAATTTAAATTTGGGAAAAAGGAAAAAGTTAATTTGAGTGAGACTTTTTTGAGATTTTAACACCTGGGAAAAGGTGGAAACAAAATGAACTCATTAAAAAATGTTTTTTACCCACATTAATTTAATTGGGGTATTTTTAATACGAAAAAAATTTGTTTAAGTTTGGCAAATTTGGAATTTAAGGGCGGGAATTTGGGAAGGGTTTTAAAACTGCATAGATTGAACGGATCCCCCGGAAAAAAGTCGCGGAACCCGTGAAGCTCGAAAAAATATAGGTAGAAAAAAATTTTTAGTTCCCCCAATACAGTTTGAAGGCATTTTCCCGGATCCGGGGAATGGAAAAGTTTTTTAAATGAGGGATTTGGTTGACCTGGTGTAACCCAAGGGTCGATGGACATGTTAATTTGATTCGTTTAACATCTCGCCCCGGGGAGAGGGAGAGAGGGGAGGAGGAGGGAGGGGAGGAAGATAAAAGAATATTAGGAAGGGGAGGAAGAGGGGGAGGAGGAGGAGGAAGAGGGGGAGAGGAGGAGGAGGAGGAGGAGGAGAGGAGGAGGAGGGGGAGGAGGAAGAGAGAGGGGAAGGGGGAGGAGGAGGAGGGGGAGGAAGACTATTAGGAAGAGGGGAAGAGGGGAGGAGGAGGAGGAAGAGGGGGGAGGAGGAGGAGGGAGGAGGGGCAGGGGAGGAGGAGGAGGAGGAGGGGAGGAGGAGGAGGGAGGAGGAGAGGAGGGAAGGAGGGGGAGGAGGAGGAGGAGGGAGGGGAGGAGGGGAAGAACATGGAAAGGGGAAGAGGAGGAGGAGGGAGGGGAGGAAGGGGGGAGGAGGAGGAGGAGGAGGAAGGACATTAGGAGAGGGAGGAAGGGAGGGGAGGAGGGGGGAGGGGGAGGAAGAATATTGGAAGGGAGGAAAGGGGAGGGAAGAGGGGGGAGGAGGAGGAAAGAACATTGGGAAAGGGGAGAGGAGGGGAGGAGGAGGAGGAGGAGGAGGAAGGGGCGGGAGGAGGAGGGAAGGAGGGGCACCAGAGCGCTTAGTGATTACATCATCACTACTGTGACATCAAGACCCGAACTGACGATGGCTTAACAGCTCATGGCAAGGTTCCAGCGTTGTGTGTTGGTGTGTGTGTCTTGTGTGTGTGTGGTGTGAGTGTTTTGTAAGACATTAGCATTCTATAAAAGCCCCAGGGTTCCTTCCTGTCCAGTATAAATATAAACATATAAACATTTAAACAACATAAACACGCGCAACACGTGGCCCCAGATGCTTATGTCTGCAGGCTTGCAGTGAGGAACGGGTGGTTTGTCCATAGGCAGTGACTGGAGCAGAATGAACCGAGTGTAATGGGAATGACGTGGTAACTTGAAAGCATAAAGCCCAAAAAGAAATTGCCCCCGAAAATGATAAATGAAAAAAACTAGAAAATTAATGTGTTCAATGTCTTGTTGATAGTTGCCAACTTGGTAACACAATGTATTGGATAATAGTTGGCCAAGCCTGTGTTAACACAATTATTGTGAGGATAGTTGGCCAGCCTGTGTTAACACAAAGTATTGTCATGATAGTCGGCCAAGCCTGTGTTAACAAAAATGTATTGTATGATAGTCGGCAATCCTGTGTACCACAAGATGTGATAATAGTGGCCAGCCTGTGTTAACACAATGTTTGTGATGATAGTTGGCCAATCCTGTGTTAACACAATGTATTGTGAGGATAGTTGGCCAAGCCTGTGTTAACACAATGTATTTTGATGATAGTCGGCCAAGCCGGTTACAAATTATGTGATGATAGCGGCAAGCTGTGTTAACACAATGTATTTTGATGATGTCGGCCAATCGTTAACAAGTATTTTGATGATAGTCGGCAAGCCTGGTTTTAAACAATGTATTTTGATGATAGTCGGCCAAGCCTGTGTTACCAACCCTTTACATTGT